TATTAAAATCATGCATAAAATCAAATCTTGTTATACATATTTAATTTAAATTTATAGAGACTTGATTGGCATGAAAGGTGCTCAAAGTGATCAGCCCTTCCATTGTTTTTTGGACTGAAATCAGCCCTTCCATTCAATTATTAGTGAAATGATCAATTTCAAACAAAAAAAAAATCTGTAATTTTCGAAACATGAGATGCCAGCGAGGTTCTTATTATATTAAAATAACCTAATAATTCTACAGCAAAAATAACATAATAATTATATAGTTCAGAGAAAATTCATAAAAATTTGTGCAGCATGTTCTAGTAATCGATATTTATATCATAAAATATACAAAATATAGAAAATTGCGTTATCCACAAACCATGCTCTATGTCTTATTTTAGGTTTTATGCACACACATATATATAAACTTATAAATTCTAATATGTAATATAGCTACTCCGAACACAAGCTCCATATATATATATATATATATATAATTAAACAAGAATCCTATCTCTATTAGTAATTAATTAGTTAATTGAAGAAATCTGAGCGAGTCAATATTAAATACGGACATAATTTAAGACTTAATTTATCTCTTAATAAAATAAATTAGATGCATGTTGCCGGCAATTATGGGGAAATTAAATCAAACTTTTTAAATTGCAAAGTTGAAGACTTTAAAGATTGATCAGGTGATGTGAAACTTCCACAACAGTCGAATACTCAAAACAATATTTATTGAGTGATACCAAACGAAGATTTTAAATCAAATGCTTACTATATATAAAAAATATAAAAAATACTCACTACAAAAAAACAGCGAATTAGCGACAGAATTTGTGACGGAAACAAATTCCGTCGCAAATTAGCGACGGATTAGCGATGGAAATTCCGTCGCTAATTTTTTTGACAGATTAGTGACGGAATTTCTGTCCATCGCTAAATTCCGTTGCTAATCCGTATTTAGCGACGGAATCTTTTTCTGTCAGACAATTCCGTCGCTAATCTGTAAAAAAAAAATAGCGACGGAAATTTCGTCACAATTCCGTCAGAAATTAGCGATGGAATTTGTTTTCGTCGCAAATTCCGTCGCAAAGTTTAAGAAAATAAATTACATAGGATATATATACAAGTAGGAAAATACTGTTTATCATAATCTATTTAAATCATTTAATTTTTTATATAAAATAATTTATTAGATTTTATTATAGTAGTTATTTTTTGAATTTTTTGAATAACAAGATTTTTTGACTAATTGTAAATGATTTTCTTCAAATATATAAACCACATATACATATATAATATAATGTAATATAATATATATATATATAATTAAATTGTATATCTTATCAATGTTAATTAAAAAAAAATTTAAAAATTATTTATGAAAAATTATTTATGATGTAAAATTCAAAATTAGTGTCGTTAGAAATTAAAATGATATTAAAAAGATTTTTAAAACATAAAAAATTATAAAAATAGTAAAACAAATATTTAAAAATTATTTTTTCATTAAAATAGTTATTATTGAAATTATTATATAGTATATTTTTAGTTTTTAATAATATATATGTATATATAATTGTTTGTGTAAAATAATATAATATATATTTAATTTTACATAATAAGTCAATAGGTTCATTGCAGCTCAAATGGTAAAGCCGCACATGCGCACGGAGGAGGTCCTGGGTTCAAGCCATAGAGAAGTCACTTTGATAAGGGAATTATGTGGTGGTGACACGTGGCAGGCAAAGGTGTGACACGTGGCGCACACGTGGCAGTAGATGTGAGGTGGCAGCGACACGTGGAGGTGGTCTCAGTGATGACGTGGCAATTGGTAGAGGTGCCACGTGGCATTTTATTTTATTTTTTAAAAAATCGAGTTAGCGACTGATTAGCGATGGAAAAATTTTGTCGGTAATTAGCGACGGAAAATCCGTCGCTAATCCGTCGCTAATTAATTAGCGACAGAGGAATTAGCAACGGAAAAAATTCCGTCGCTAATTCCGTCGCAAATTTGTTCCGTCGCAAATCCGTCGCTAATCCGTCACTAAATTCCGTCGCTAAAATCATGTTTTTTTGTAGTGACTCAAGTTAAGATCTTTATATCTATTATATCAAGTTCTTCAATCAAATATAACTACGTGTTATTTTTTCATGCGATGAGAAAATTTAACATAATAGATATCAAAAACTAAATATAAATATTGTCCACAATATATATGCCAGGTGGAGCCAGGACTTTTAGCTACTAAATTTGTTTCTTTGAAAATCTGTATAGAAAAATATAATTGTCTTGAATTTCTTATAAAGAGGATGTTTTGCATCAAAATATTGCATTCTTAATTTAGAAAACCATATCAAAAGACTGTTTGCAAGAGAACCTCAAAAGCCTAACGAGATTGTTAAGGCTATTATTGAAGTACATATAGACATAGTTTTTTTTAAAATAAATTCTTGCTCTCATTCGCTTATTTCAGTTTTTTGTGCTTTCTAATCCCAAGTTTCTAAATTTCAATTTTCTTAACATAAGTTTATTATGTTATTGTAACTTGTAAGAACTCTTTATTAAATATAAATTTCCTTTTGTTTTGGTTAAAAAAAAGTAAATAATATTTTTATTTCTAGGTCAACTCTCCACAAAAAAATAAACATAGAGAGAGAAAGCGAGATTCCTTTAGAAAGAAGCACCTGGATGCATGCTAATAAAAGTTTCATTATTTTTTAGGAACATATAAAAGTTTCACTATTGCATGGGTCGACACTATATCTTCTAAAAGCACATGTGCATGTTCCATTAATGCTAGCAACTACGAACTAAATGTTTGTGTATGATCCTCAATTGTGGCAAATAGATTGACTAGGAATTTATAACCTTATAAGTAAGATATGGAGTTTTCGGGTTGGAGCAGTAGTCTTTTAAATAAATAAAAAGAAAGTAACATTAACGATTTCATAAGACATTAATTTAACGACTTCACTTAATTTTTTTCCCCTACACATTAAGATAAAATTTAATCTACTTTAGCTAGTCAGCCGGTTTGAGAAGGCATTTTGGAGGAAGAAAAGTAACTTATAGTAGTCAATTTGCATATTTGAGAGCTGTTTGTCACAGCTTTCAGCTAATCTGACTTATAAGTCAAAAGTTGCTTTTTTATATACGATTATAGAAGCATCTAAAACTTATTTATAGCTTATGCAAAAGTAGCTTTTTGGAGTTAAAATATATTTTTGCCCATACATTTATGTTACTCTTATGCTTCTCTCTATATATTCTTTGTGCTTCCTAATTAGATTTTAGTTATTTATTTTTAATATTCTCTTGAATAAAAATAATTCTGGACCGTATTTATAATATTTTAAATTTTTTATATTATTTTTATTTTATATTTACATAAATTATGCAGAGTATCATCCAATTAATTATATAATATTATTTGGTTCAAAAATTTTCACATTAATATGATTTCTAATTTAAATATATTTTATTCATTAAATATAAATTTTTCCTATTATAATAATTTAAAATTATTATATTTTGTAAATTCAAAGTTTTAATCATTTTTCATTTTTAATAAAAATCATACCCATTTTGGTCATTCTACAAACTAAACTTACTTATTCAATCATAATCCAAACAACTTTTTTACTTCACAAACTAACTTTTATAAAAGTTAATCCAAACATAAATCACATTACCCAATTTAATTTTTATCCAATCTGACTTAAGTTTTTTTTTCCCCCACTGCTAATCAAAACAGACTCAGTATAGGATATCATCTGAAAGCATTGTTTACTCCAAAATACAAAACAACACCTAGTGTTTATATATTTTTAATAAGACTAAAATATACGTTTAGTCTTTTATATTTACATTAAGTTTTAATCCTTCAAATTTATATAGTATATTTTTCATCTTTCAATTTTAACACTATTTTTTTTTATCTGATAGAAAATAATGACTCATCAATGGTGAATGTAGCATCAACAAAGATAGAGTATCCATTTTGTTAGATGAAACTAATGATGTTAAGATTGAAGATCTAAAAATTTATTTAATAGAATCAAAAGGTTAAAATAAAATTTGATGCAAACATAAAAGACCATAGTACTTTGGTTTGAATTTAGAATTTTAATTGCATTGTAGTATTTTTAATTTGACTTGTATTTTTCATTTCAAAACAATATTTAACTCTGGTCATTTAGTGCATTATAGTGCCTGGTAAAACGGAGAAGATTGGCTTTTTTGATGTTGCCCCCGGGGAGGAGAGAGAGAGACTTTTTTGACAAGTTCATAGGTAGGTACTCTCTCCAATTCAAAATATAAGCTAAATTATAAGGAAAAACTACCAAATTTTGTTGGTTTTAATTAAGCATAATTAATCTTTGGGTCATTTTACTTTCACATGTTTTTAATTAAGCCCCCCATTTTTTCTTTTTATTAGGTCCTTGTAGTTTTACTTATTTTTTAATTAGGTCCTTTGTACTTTTAAAAAACTTATTTATTAACTTTATTCACTAAAATTAATTTCATTTTTAAATAATAATCATATAATAGGACAAAATAATTAATATAATCATTTAGTAATTAATAATTAATCAGAATAATCAATAATACTTAACTGTAAATTATTTATAATTATATTCTAATTTTAGAAAATTTTATTATAATAATTTGAATTTTAGAATTATAAAAATTAGAATTAAAAAATAAATAATATATATGTTTAACTAAAAATTTAAAAGAATATTAACATAAGATTGTTATAATAATTTATTATTTATAGAATATTATTATTCATAGAATAAAGTAGGGGTGCACGTGGGCAGGGCTGGGCAGGGCTCGACCCTTGCTCGATGCCCAGCCCGAACTATGTGCGGGCCACAAAATGCAGCCCGGTGCCCAGCCCTGCCCGTAGAAGCCCTAACCATTTTGGGCAGGGCATGGGCAGGGCGGGGCAGGGCGGGCTTCATTGCCCAAAAACCGATGTCCTGCTCAAATCATTAAAAAAAAACAACTCCATCCATATCTGAAAATCACATTACATAATTCTACATTTTAACACACCAAAATCATTCAGAAATAGTCCAAAATAAGTCTTAACAAATATCCAATTGAATAACATCAATAATCCATTCAAAACAAGATTCAATATTGTAATTGGAGCCTAGAAAATTGAACAGTTTGCATCAATCTCCATAATTTCCCAAAAAGGATGGAACACCTGAAAAAAATACAAATAAAAATAACAAAGTTTAATACATTACAAAGTAAACAATAAAAAAAAATATACTTCTAGATTTTAAAGGAAGCACTGATTCACCTTGCCAGCTTAACTAGTCATGTTTATAAAATGACCCTTCAATTACCAATAGCCATTAAATTCTCCCCTCCAGCTCCAGGTGTAGCAGAATCTAGGACAAAAAATCAAAGAACAATGACATTACAAATTATGAAGTAAAATATGAGTTATTGAGATTTGGGGGCAAAAAAAATTACTAGCAAGTTGAAGGACATGTTCTGTTTCATCAAAATTATCAAACTCCCGAAGCTTGTCAACAAATTCAGACATTGATAGCCCTGGTTGTAGCCAATTTTGGCTACAAATTAGTGCTTCTGTCATCTTAGAAGATAAAGAGCTTCTATAATGATCAACCACACGTCCTCCAGTGCTAAAGGCAGACTCAGAAGCCACTGTAGAAACTGGCATAGCCAATACATCTCGTGCCATGTGTGAGAGAATTCTATATTTTTCTGAATTAGCTTTCCACCATAACAATATGTCAAACTCAGCTGCAGAAGGGATTTCATCTCTCGAGTCAGTTGTTATATATCTATCTAACTCAGTTTGAGGATCTGTTGAGGTTCTTTGTTTCATAGATTCTAACCACTTATGACCTGGATCCTCTTCACCATCATCATCATCATCATCAAAAGAAGGCAATGATGTTGCACCTGCTGTGCTTGTGGAGGTAGTCCCTGAGTCAATAGAAACCCCAGCAGAGTACTCATTAAACAACCGATACAAGCAATCTTTAACCCTCTCCTTCATAATCAAGCATACTTCAGGATCAGCATAAAGAAGATCAAACATATGATTTACATATGCTAGTTTATACCGAGGGTCCAAAATGACAGCAACAAAAAGCAATGGATTCATATTGTCTGCTTGACCCCAATACTTGTCATACTTCACCTGCATGCTAATGCTCATTTCTCTCAAGAAGCTATTAGCATTATTTGTGATATTTCTTTGCAGCATTTTCTGAACCTGAGCAATCTGGTGGAAACATTCATTTGCCGATACAGAAAGGGAGCTTGAAAATTTCAATGTTATGTCATAGAAGACCTTTAAGAATTTGATGAAGATCCGAGCATTATTCCAATCATCAGTAACAAGACCAGAAAAGCTATCTTGCTCACGCCTAGCAGAACTAGAAGCCCCACGCTCACGCCTAAAGCTTGAAGTGTTTGAGCTGAAGTACGAAATATAGTCATCATCTTCATCACGCATTCGCTCAAACACTTTTTGAAACTTCATTGCAGCTTCTAACATTAAGTATGTTGAATTCCATCGAGTGGATACATCAAGGCAAACAAGACTTTTAGTGTCTATTTTTTCAGCTTTAGCCCAAGCTTTGAATCTTAGGAAGCGTGAAGGAGAAGAACGAACATATCTCACAGCATTTCGAATGGCTTCAAAGCTGTCTTTCATTTCTTTAATACCTTCATTGACCACTAAATTTAGGACATGTGCACAACATCTTAATTGTAGATAATCACCATCACAAAGTAAGCCCTTCCAACTCCTCAAACGTCTCTTAAGATATCCCAAAGCTGAGTCATTAGCTGAGGCATTATCCACAGTGATAGTGAACACTTTCTCAATCTCCCAATCTAACAAGCATTGCTCAATGGTCCTCCCTATAGTATCACCTCTATGATTTTCAATCATAACAAAACTGAGAATTCTTTTGTGAAGCTTCCATTCATCATCAACAAAATGTGCTGTCAAGCATAGGTAATTGAAATTCTGATTTGATGTCCAGCAATCTATGGTGAGACAAACACGTTTAGTACTCTGTTTCAAAAATTTCTTCAATACTTTAATTTCTCCAAGATATAATTGCCACACATCTCTTCCAATTGTTGTTCTTGATGGGATTGGAAAGCGAGGTTCAAACTCATTCAACAATTTCTTAAATGCAGGCTTCTCCACAATTCTAAATGGTTGCTCATCACAGATAATAAATTCAGCTAAAGCTCTTCTACATCGCTTCTCATCATATACATGTGTAACTAAAGATCTTCCTTGGCCACTAGTCTTGCCCGACAAAAGAGTTAACATAGATTGCTTTTTATCTGTAGTGGCTTTATGAGGATTCTTTGAACATTTTGGGATATGCCTTAATAAAGAATTTGTCCCATGACAGTTTGGATCAGCTTTATAAGTAGTATGACAATACTTGCAAGCTGCTAAGTGAACTCCATTAGTTTCTTCTATTGGCAATCTAACAAAATATTCCCAAACCTCTGATGTGTGCTTAGTTTCTCTTGCCTTTCTCTTTGTACCCCTTTCATCAATACTTGTTTCCGGTGTGACAGAATTTGTTTGTGGGGGAGTAGGGGTAGGAGAGGGAGCAAGGGGAGGGAGGACAGGATGAGATGGAGGTTGAATAGGGACAATAGGGCTAAGGGCAGCAACTTCACTAGGTCTATTAGGATTTGGTGTTTGATTAGGTCCAATAGAGATTGGTGTTTGAAGAGGGGCTGAAGCAGCTTGAGACCTTCCACCAACAACCGGGGATGGTGATGTAATAGAAGTTTCATCGTCCATTGCAGCTGCAATATCATATGATTGAACCAATAGCAAGAAATTTTAAATGAATAGGAGCAGAATCAAATAGCATTATATCATACAAACACAAGTGGAGACTGAAGAAATAATGTGAGAAATGAATCATGGCAAGAAATTTGAATTGATACAATAATACTGATATAAACTACAGCTCACGATATACCATTTGATTTAATTGATTCATTTAAAATGATTCTGCTATTCCAAATACTAAAACGAATTATTAAAAAAAAAATCGAGCAATGCTTGGAAACTAAAACGAACATGGCAGTAACTACATGAATTATTTTTGAATAGACACGGTAGAAGCAATGACCAAATACTTGGAAACTAAAATACTCTGCCACTAAAATCGAGCAATGCTTGGAAACTAAAATCGAGCAATGACCAAATACTCTGCCACTCATTCCACGGTAGAAGCACTGAAGCAGCAGAACCATAATTGAGTCATCTCAAATTCTTACAAACTAAAACGAACATGGCATTACATGAATTGTTTTTTTTGAATAGACACGGCAGGCATGAGCTTGTAGATACAATTACAAAACACAGCATTAGATGTTGAATCTGAATATCTCATGCACCTCCATAGAAACAGCATTATATGAATTGTGAAACAGAAAATCAGAAATAATCCAAGCAGAATCAAATGGCACAATCAGGCGACTGAATCAAACCAGAATCAAATACAATCATATGTTACAGAGACATGTGTGGAGACTGGAGAAAGGAATCCGTGCTGTCGCAACTCACCGAGTGGAGATTGGAGCCGTGGAGCAACGAGTGACCGAGAGACGTGATGGTGGTTGAGGCGTTGAGCTGGAGTATTCGGCGAGCTTGAGATTGAAGAGACAGCGACCGAGAGATACCGAGAGACTACTCGATGAGCTTCAGATCGGAGAGACAGCAAGGTGAGGTGGGAGACTGGGAGAGACTACTCGGCGAGAGGCAAGATCCAGGCGAGCAACGACTCGTTGAGCTGGAGTATTCGGCGAGCTGCAGTCTTCGAATCAGAGACAGCAGTGAGCAGTCACAGCACGCGGAGGTGGGAGACTGCACTGGGAGGGAGCGACCGAGACCGAGAGGCAGGGGAGAGACCGAGAGTCCGAGTCTCCGAGACCGACAGGCAGGGGAGCGTCGGAGCGACTCAGAACTGAAAGTGGGGGGGAGTAACCGTGTTGCCGTCGCCGACTTGCCGCGTTGGGTAAATGGGTAGGGTTATTCTGATGGAGTGACCGAGTGATGAAAGGCGGACTGATGGAGTGGAGTCAGTGCCTCAGTGGAGAGTGGAGTCAGTGCCTCAGTGCCGTGGAGAGTGGAAGTGAAAAAAAAAAACAAAACAAAAACTTCCGGGCAAGGCCAAACGGGCAGGGCAGGGTACCCTGCCCGCCGCCCGGCCCTGCCCGTGTTGGGCCCTGCCCAAAAGTGTTCTTTTTTTGTTTGGGCTACAGTTTTTCGGGCTGGGCCGGGCATTTTTTTCCCGGGCTCGGGCGGGCACTCCGGGCATGCGGGCACTATGAACACCCCTAGAATAAAGAATAAAAACTACAAGGATCTAATTAAAAATAAAGTAAAACAATAAGGACATGATAAAAAGAAAAAAATATTACAAAGACTTAATTAAAAACATGTGAGAGTATAAGGATCTGATAAAAAAATTATAAGGACCTGTATATTAATTATCCTTTTTAATTATAAGCGAAAACTAATAATCTAGTTTTAATACAATTGATGGCCGATTCTAATGATCTTCCTCATTTAAAATTATAAGAGATGAGTAGTTAAAATTGTTGCAATAAATAACCATAATATTATTAGAAAAACAATTCAATTTCGTACATAATATGGATAACTAACTTTTTTTAAAACATGGGGAAACAATTTTTTCCCTTTGCATAATTGATAATTATAGGGAGCATTTTGTTGAGATCAGCATAGTGATTACCTTTTTACTTATTTTTTGTATTTGAACGAAAAATGAATGTTTTCTATTCCCTAAAATATAAAGAAAATTTTTTTTAAGGACCCTCTGAAAACATTAAAAAGATTTTAAAACTTTTAAATTTTAAAAAAAATCATTATTTTTATATTGGAATTAAAATTTTTCCAACTATTCGCTAGACTTATTTCTTTAGTATAATCAATAATATTTTTTTAAAAGATTATTTTCAAATTAAAGGGTAACTTGTACTATTCAAAATTACATCCACAATAACCAAGTCCTAACCGATAGATATAACTAATGTCAACAACAGCTGAGGTTTGCTTGCTGGCTGCGCCTCATTTTTTCAGGTTGTATAAATTGACTTTTCTCATCTTACCCCTCCTATACTTTTATTTTTTTGGTTGATAATTTATATTTTAATTTAAATATCCCAACTTAATTTTTGATTTCTGATCTTTATTAAAAATAATTCAGTTTAAATCTTTCACAATTTGATCAAAATTACTCATAAATTAAAGTTTTAAAAGAGAAACAAAAATACATAGAGAGAGTTCGCAGCTGAATTAATTAAGTGCCTTTTGTTTCTAAATTAGAAAGTACTCTTCCGGTCCTAAATATAAGACCCGTTTTATAGTGTAAATTACACTACAAAATGAGTCTTATATTTATTATTGGAGGAATACAATAATAAAAGATTAGCTATGACCCATTATTAAAAAAATTGGCTAATGACTAATTAAGCCTTGCTAGGAGGCATCTAGCTAGGGTTAATAGAAATTATAATTACTATACTTAATTAATTAGTTAATTTGGTATCAATTAATGAATTATATTAAAAAGTATCAGCCAGTGCCCACAGACCCCTAATATTTACATCTGTCGACAGAAATTATTGACCAAAAATAACTTAAAGAACTAAGATTGAATAGTATATACTGCAGATAGATAAAAATTGACAGTTAAATAATTAAATTAGTTAAAGTCAAACTTAAGATGCGTCCCAATATGTCCAAGAAGAAGAATACGTGTTTAATTATGAGACGAAGGATTTGACTTTGGTGCTGCCACAGAGAAGTGGCACACACAAATATATATATATATATGTATATGTATATGTATATATCACACAACACGAGAGAGAGAGAGAGATCAGCAGACAGATTCTGCAAAGAATTAAATGGGTAGATCAGAGGAAGAAGAAGACAAAAAGATGCAGAAAATGGATCTCTCTTTGAAGATTAATCATCATAGTGAAGAACACCAAGGAGCAGATCAGAAGAAGGTAGAAGAAGATGACGATAAGGAAGAAATATTGGCAAAAGCAGTGAAGGTTGACGAACAAGAAGCTCCTCATCATGAAGCCGCCACAGCTGCACAAAATCAGACAGAAGAACGAGTACCAGAAGAAGATGATAATAATGGATCAATGGTACAGAACACTAAAGCAAGAGAGGTATATATATACACACATACACTTCTTTCTTTAATTTGTTCATTGCACAGAAGAAAACCTCATCATTACATTCTTGGGAATTATGTAATAGATCGAGATCTAACTGTTAATCCAAAATCTATAACTGTTAATTATTGAACCAGTCCATTTAGTTAACAATGTATTTAAAGATCTTTACCATGGCTTCGATTCATCCATGAATCTAATTTCACCGATGAACTTCTCGTTGTTGATAATATTAGCCGGAAAGAATTTTGATTTATCGTTTGGGATCCTTCTTTAATTACTCAAAATTAAACCTCTAGTTTTGAGGATCTTAATTAGGGGCTTAACTATTCTTACCATATCAATTATGCTTACACAGACAATAGACCTAATGTCAGTACGGCGACGTTTAATTGCCTGTGTTTAATTCAAGTGCATAATTTTAATAATTTAGGTGTTTTTTTTTTTTTTGGATAACTATATGTAGGAGTTAAGTGTGCTACAAGTGGAGACAGATCGCATGAAAGAAGAAAACAAAGTTTTAAAGAAAGTAGTGGAACAAACCATGAAAGACTTCTACGATCTTCAGATGAAACTCGCAATCATCCAGCAGAACCACAGCAAACACAATAAGGTATAAATAAAAATATCAGTTAATCTCTCTCTCTCTCTCTACATTATAATTCTTATCTTAATTTGGAATAATCTCTTTTAGGATCCTGATCATCAGATCTCTCTGCCACTTCAAAACAGTGGAAATCCTGTTGGCAGTGATGAGAATGATCATATAAAGAAGATTGGATTGGGATTATCACTGAGGTTACAGACAAGTGAAGCGGAAGATGATGAAGCTAAAAGGGAAGGACAGGAGTCTAAGAAGAAGGAATTCTTAGAATTGATGACAAGTAGCTTTGGAACATTATCATCAGTGCAAAACAAAATACCTCGGACTAATATTCATCACGAGTCGCCAGCTTCTGGTCTCAGTAATGCTCATGTTGCTTCTTCTTCTTCGTCTCCAAATAGGAAGGCTAGGGTTTCTGTTAGAGCCAGATGTGCAGCAGCCACTGTAAGTATATCTATATACATTTCATTCGTTTCTACACATCCCCATTTTTTCGCCTATATCTTTCTTGTATACTATCTTCGATTCTAATTATAAAACCTCATTGTAGTCTGTAAATAAGATTTTATAATTAGGACTGGAGGTAGTACTATATATACACAATAGTGTACATTATTTAACCCAAAATTCTTGGTAACCTGAAAAGAGATCAATATAATGGTGGATCTTATTTCATAGGTGAAGTTTAATATATAGAAAGTTTGGGCACCTAGAAAGGGATTGGGGTTAGATGTTTTACTCAAGACAAAACATAAAGCCTTTTGCCTCTATGGCTTTTCAAATGTTTTGAGGTATAAAAATATACTTTTTAAATTTGATTGAGTTACATTATTGATTAAAATATTTTACATCAACAAATTCAGATATTGACATTAAATTTAAGTATATAACAATATGCATGTTAAGGAGATGATCAGTAGATGTTGGGAAAAAATATAGTATGTTAAGAAGATGACGAAGTGTGTGGATGTATTTTTAAGGCAACACATATGTAGTCAAGATAATTGAACACAAAAAAAAAATAGGGATTACAAATATAGTATGCTTTCCTTGTGTGGTTCAACAAAGGGGAAGGGGATGGATTTAAATGAAAAGCAAGGGGTGAGAGAGATTTCAAGGACAATTTAAAAATTTAATTAAATTCTATTATAAGGATAATAATGTCCAAAAGTATTTCAATTAAAAGCATTTTCTCCTAAAATCTCATCTTTTAGAGCAATTACCTTCCTCTCTTCTTCAAAAAGCTCAAACCAAACACAATATTAATTTTAAAAAAAAGTACTGAATCACAGTGTCTCAAAAAAACATAAATATAGTAATGAGTCTTAATTACGTAATAAGTGAAGTCTATCGTTATACTCCTAAGCTCTTATCCTATTTATACAATGAAGAGAAGATATTTTTTTTATAATATTTATAGGACAAAGAGAGAGTTTTTTGTATAAATATACAATTTTACCTTTCATTTATTATTATTATTATTATTATGATGATGATGATGTTGACTTTATTCTCATATAAAGTATAGATAATGTATATTAAACAGGAAAAAATTGAAACATTGCTGAGTTTTAGCCTATATGAATCATGTCAGGAGTAACTTATAAATAGGATCAGGAGATTATATATTTTTCTCAAGTCCCATCAACTATATAGTTACATATATTTCATGTACGTGTATCCAGGGTATTTTGTTTCTCAGAGAGCTTTGTGATTTGAAAAGTGACCATAAAACAAAGAATTGAGAACAATTGTTGATTATATATGCAGATGAATGATGGGTGCCAATGGAGAAAATATGGACAAAAAATTTCCAAAGGAAATCCATGTCCTCGTGCCTATTATCGTTGCACTTTTGCCCCTGGCTGTCCCGTCAGAAAACAGGTACTAATAGTAGTACCTAATTTAACATTAACTTGTTTGGATTCGAAAGTTTATATATATGACTACCCATTTAATTTGTTTAATTTTCTTTTGAAAAAAGTGATATAAGTTAGAATAAACATGAGAAAGTTGTTGGCATAATTTGAGCTAGATATGCGTTGGAAAAGGCTTATTTTTGACAAGTTATTTGGATATCTTATCAATATACTTCATGCTCTCTCTCTTTTGGACATTAAAGTTGTCTTTTAAGCTTGTTTTTTAGTTTCTTTAGTAATTTTGGGGTTATATTTCTTTAGTAATTTTATTGGTTCACTACCTTCTTGTAACATGCAAGACTTCTATTTTCTTAATATCATTCATTTATATATATATAAAAAAGGATAAGTTATTTGGAGTAAGTTTTCCAAGAAAAAAGCCATAAAAAAACTAAAGGAAAAGATTTTTTTTTCAATAAAATATTTATAATTAGCTTACTTTTTCCCAACAAATCAGGTGTGAAACTTGACTAGAATATGTTGCTTTTCAAGTTTTATTATTTTGCTCCTCTGGTTTTAAATATAAAATTTATTTTATAGTGTAATTTATATTATAAAATGAGCATTACGTTTATGACCGGAAGAGTATTTTATAATCTTATACAATTTAAATACACACAAGCATGTCAATGTCAAACTCAAGCTTAAAACCCCATTCAAGTGTGACAAGTGGGTTGTTTCATTCTTTTGTCAATGCAGTGTTTCATATATATAGACACTTGTTGGGCATTTGAATATATGTCGTGTTTTATATATATTTATATATATATATATATATATATATTACACACCAAGAGTTGTTAGGTGGCTTACGCTATTATATCAAGTGTTCACACTGGTTTTCAATCTTCACTGTTCTTTAATATGATTATTCTTTGACGACAACAAATTTTTGAATATGATTCATATTAATACTTTTGTCTCTCAGGTGCAGAGATGCTTAGAGGACATGTCCATTCTAATAACAACGTACGAAGGAACACACAACCATCCTCTTCCCGTAGGTGCCACAGCCATGGCTTCCACTGCTTATGCAGCTCATTACAATAACAATAATACCTTTCTCCCATCACCAAACCCTAATATTGACCCTTCCAAAGGACTCATCCTTGATCTAACTTCAACCCCCTTATCTTCTTCATCATCATCACAGCCCAGATTTTCTTGGACACCAAACACAACCAATAGTTTTCCCAGTTCTGTACAAGAAAATAATCACAGTGTTTCTGCGATTGCTTCAGATCCTAAGTTTAGGGTTGCTGTGGCGGCTGCGATAACATCCATTATTAATAACAAAGACATCAATCATAGTACTGTTACTAATAATAATAATGATAATAATCCTTCAGCGGGGACAACGTTGTCGACGGCTTCTTTTGTTGGTGCTGGCAATAATATTAATAATGGAAGAAGCTCTGGTAGTAGCAGCAGTAACAGATGGATCTTAGAGTCCCTCTCATCATCACCAAAAGGGAAGACCCAGTTGTAAGATTAAGCATGGAGGAGGATATTATTCTGATTCATTTGTTTCTTTTGTTTTTTCCCCCTTGAAATTACTTTTTCCTATATTTTTTTAATTTACATACATATACGTATATAGGCTTAATATATGAAGAAAGTTTTAATTACTTTACGTATGCAAGTAATTGAAGCTAAGTGAAGTGTGAAGATACTGCAAATCTGTTGTGTTGTGTAGATCTTTTCGTGTACTGTACTCATTCCTGGATAGCTAATTGATTTCCTCTTTATACGATTCATTTTTCATTATTTTATGATTTCATGGCACACAACGGTGTTTAGAAACCAAAGATCTTTATGATGGTGAGGCAACCAAGTCACTTCAAATAACATGGAGAAAAGTTATAAATATATAAATAACAATATGTCTCGTACGTACACATATGTGTGTGTGTGTGTGTGTGTTGGTGGCTTGGTGCAAAAGTGGAGCCAACCATGAGGACAAAAAGAGCTTGGAAGCCAATTAATGCGAGAATGCAAAGAGATGCATATTTTGAAGACCCCTCAAGAGTTGAAGAAGACTCTCTTTTGAGGGGATCAGAGAATGATATTGCCTCCTGTCTTAAATATAAGATCCAGTAAGTGGATTTTATATTTATGACCAAATATAGAATAAACCAAAGTTGCATCTGTATGGATTTCTTTTCTTGAATGATTAGGCAGCTTCTTAATTACCACCTAGTGTTGCCAGATGATAAATTTCAATAGTGATATACATGAAGATATACACCCACACACACATATATCTCTCCCTCGCTGTTTAGCTTATCCCATTTTTCAAAGTAATTGCCGAAATCACCTTCTCAAAATTCAACAATTCTCTTCAAACTTTTCCGAGATTCAAAATTCAGATTCAATGTGTTTTTGCTGAAAGCATTTTTGGAAGAAATCTCAATTTTTTTTGTTTCACAATATTTTTTTCTCAAATGTTTATATAATAAGTTTCATGAAAATTTAATTCTTAAAAAACCATTTAAGATATATCATTTCACATAATCCAAATTGCAGTCAAAAGTACTTGCAATGCATGCAACATTAATTTACATATGATATATAAGAATATTATAAACTTTGAAGGATGGAAACAATTCAAGTCAAGCCAAGTTTTGACCAAATAGGCTCGAGCCTATGATAGGAACATAAAGTCCTAATAGGCCTACTTAAATCTTTTTTGAGACTTAGGCCTAAGCCTTCAAAAGGCCTAGTAGGCCTAAAATCTTTTCAAAGACCTACTTAAATTTGGTGTTTAAATCTTGAAAAACCATAAATAGACTTTGAACCTACTAAAGCCTGCACAAATATAAGCTTTTGGTACACTCAGAAGCCTATAAATTTTAATATATATTAATAAAATAAATTTAAAAAAATTAATTAGGTCAGGCCTGAGGCTTTTAGGTCAAGCTTTAATTTAAAAGCCTAACGTATTTACTTTAAAAGGCCTCTAAATAGGCCTTAGGCCTGACTTGTTTGCTAAACAGGTCACGCCATATCAGGTCCAAATCAGGCAAGATTGTGGGCTCCTGATAGGAGCTTGACCTATTTTCATCCCTAATTTAGAAGGCTCATAGCTCGTCTTTGGAAGGGAGAATTACCTTGGCGAAATCAGTGTTATCTTCTATCCCTCTATCCAATGCAAGTTGTTCTTGTGCTAAAGAAAATCTGTCATGAAGTAGAGAAACTCCAAAGAAACTTCATTTGGGGTGACAAACAAAATAGACATTCTTACCATCCTGTGGGTTGGCATCAAATTACTCAACCCAAATCCTATGGTGGTTTAGGATTCAAAGTCTCCCTGCTGTCAACAAGGCGTATGGGATGAAGTTGACTTGGAAATTGCTAATTGGTGATAGACTCCCATCTAATTGGTGGAGAAGTAGATGGTCTCAAGGCTTCCTCGCTTTGCAATTTCTGCAATGATGAAATAGAGGATACCATTCATATATCTTAAGAGACTGCATAGACTGCCACCATGCAAAGTCTTTCTGGTTACATCTTAATCCCAGGTGCATCTCTGATTTTTTCATTGCTTCTTTGACAGACTGGTTCTCCATGAATCTTAAAACAAATATGGGGAAGAACACTGTAGATAGATTGGACTTTACTTGTGGTGTTGCTGCGCGAAAATTTTGGATATGGAGAAATAATTAATTCTATATGAATAGACCTCCGAATCCGTTATACAATATTTTGAATTGTTGGAGAAAATTTACCTTTGATTCTGAACAGGATCATATTTTAACCAATGATCTCTCTGGTAGATCATGCATCTGGACTCCTCCACCCATTGATTGGATTAAACTCAATGTTGATGGTGCTATGTCTAAGGTTACTGCAAAGGCTGGTTATGGTGGCACCTTTAGGGATCATTCTGGTGTTTGGATTGCTGGGTTCTGCTATGAAATTGGCAACTACAGTGCTTCAGAAGCTGAGGAATGGGCAGTTTATAAGGGTATCAATATGGCGTGGGATTTTGGTTTCAAGAAACTCAAAATTGAGACTGATGCAAAGGTTTTAATTGAACAACTTGGCTGAATGGAAGAGCGCACAAATTGCAGTCTTATTTTCCTCAGGATTTGCGATATGTTGAACTTCAATTGGGAAGTTCAGCTGCAGTATGTTCCAAGAGCTTGCAACAAGGTTGCGAATGCTATGGCAGAGATGGGTATGGCCCAGTCTGGTGATTTTGGTAGTTGTCTAGCGAGTTTGAGGCCTCCGATGGACAAGGATTCTGTAAGGGAGTACCTTTCTTCTGTACCCAAAGAAAAACAAAAAAAGACTAACAAACATAAGTATGATAACTAAATCAAAGTGTTAGTTGAAATGATAAACCGGTACTAACAAGCATTAATCCTGTTGATAAAAAATTGACTCCTAACCCACAAGCACAGTAGATATGAGGACCTTGTTAGTAGGTGATTTGTAGGTACCTATGTAAATACTCTTTGAGTCGAGAAATAGACTTTGGCCTAGTGAGTCCCTAGTACCTAACTCATCTAAATTTTTTTGTACAAAAAAAATGGTAAACCAGTCTCACCCTTATAAAGAAGAGAACACAAGTTCAAATATCAAGAAACACACTTGTTGGGGACTCTAACTTTAACGCTCTCAGTCTGACAGATATCAATTTCAAAGCCACAATTATATGAGGATATTCTGAATTATACAAAAGGGAATTAAAAAGAAAAAGAAAAAGAAAACATGGAAACTATGGGCTTGTTTGGTTTCTTGTTTTGAAAACAATTTTTTGTTTTTAAAAACAGAAAAATAAAAAAACATGTTTGGCAATTTGTTTTTAGTTGATTGTTTTAAAAAACAAAAAAAACAAAAAAATGTTTCTAAAAACTAAAAAACCAAAATAACTTTTACAAGTTTTTTTGTTTTTGTTTTTGTGTTTTCTATTTTTTTGGTTTTGAAAAATTAGAGAAATTTTCTTTTTTTCTCCTCTACTACCTACTACTTATCACTATCGGTGATAATTACCACTTGTCAAAGTGTAATTTTTTATATATTTTTTTTCAAATGTGATTTTTTTAAAATTATTTTCTGAACATTTTTTTTTGTTTCTAAAACTTGTCTTTAAAAACAATTTTATAAAATTGTTTTGAGAATAAGAAAACAAAAAACAGAAACAAATAGGCCCTATATCACCCCATTTTAATTTTCATATAATTGAACTTTAGTCCTTTGCGGTTAGGGGGCAAAAAACAAGAGAAAATTACACTCAAATCTCACAGAAGACAATTAATTTCAAAAAGTCCCTGGAAATCCCGAAATGATTCCTAAGTCCCCAGGTACCTGTGTGTAATTAATTGTAATTGTGAAATCACCTATTTACCCCTATTAATTTGAACCCAATGTAATTCATTTACAACATCAATAGTGACTGTTGACAGCCCGAGAAGAAGTGGTTAACAACCTTAGCAATGCCCCTGACATCTCAGAGAGTGAGTTGTTAGGAGCACTGTCGAGGTTGTCAACCACTTCTTCTCGGGTTATCAATAGCCACTGTTGAGGTTGTAAATGAATAACTTGCAATAAAATTAATAAGGGCAAATAAGTAATTTCACAATTATAATTAATTATACACAGATTCCTGAAGACTTCAGAATCATTTCTAGATTTCCAAAGACTTTTTTAAAATTAATTGTCTTCTGTAAGACCTTAGTATAATTTTCTCAAAAAACAAATATGGAAATCCTATACGTCGCGAGAGAGAGAGAACATACCGGAAACAACCAAATACGCATGACAGAATGAAAATTAAAAAAAAATAAAAATAAAACCAGCATTGACACTGCACATATGAAGCCTCGAGCAGAGAAAACAAAAGGCGAACTGCTTCCTGGACACCGGAGAGAGAGAAACGAAGTATGAACCACTGCTATTGGAATGGATCAACTTAATATGGCTAAAATATAGGTTTAATTTTTTAATTTAATTTATATAAAATTTTGATTTCATTTCTTAATTTTAAAAGGTATATTTTTACTTTTTTAACCAAAAAAATAATGATATTGAAATCTTAAATGTTGATAAAAAATCTTCAAAAACTAAGATATTAAGTTTAATATTTTTAAAATAGCCATGATTCTTACAAAAAAAAATCATTTAAGCTTAATAATTTTATTATTAAAAGGCTAAAAATATAGTTTTTAAAATTAAGAAATCAAATTAAAATTTTGTATATAGTTAAATAACCAAATATATATTTAGCTACTCCAGAGGTATAAAATTTGATCATAAGGTCGTGAAAAAGTCTCAAAAATCTTCACACTTCAATGTCTTTTCTACCGTCAACTTGTAAACATGGATATCGGGATGTCAAGTTAATATTTTTTTCTTTCCTTGATATAAGATTTATTAAACTAATTTGATTATATTACAAACGTTAGATAAGTTAGTTAATTACAAGAAATATGATATATTTTTCTTAAAATACCATAATCATTTTTCTTAATATCCTTTCTTTCTTTTCTACTTGGTTATAGTTGATATAGTATTAATAAGAATAATTTAGAAAAATTAATAAATATAAGAAACGAGTCTTATATTTAAATTAAAATCAATTCAATAATTATGTTCTACATTAAGGACTATGGTCTAAACATAAAAATTATGATGTTGGCAAAAAAAATGCGAATAATGATTGAGTTCATATTAAAATATTTACTTTTTAATTGTGGTTTTATTATCCTCCTTTCTAGGGCGTGTTCCTTTTTTTTTTTTGGGGTCAGTACCATATTCAAACTACGCAGATTTTGCAACTTGTAAGATGCAAGAACTATTCAAACCTAATATGAATATATATATATATATATATATATATATATATATAACGGAGAACATGTGTTTTTGACTTTGTTTTCTATCTATACCGTTGATTTTAATCAAATAAAGTGTGAATTTTATAGATCTAAGAGATTTATTAACATTTGGGTTAATTAATTTGCAAGTTCTTATAGTTTCAACGAATTTTGAATCAGGTCCCCATAGTTTTTTTTCTTTTTATCAAGTCCTTATACTTTTACTTTTTTTTAATTAGGCCCTTGTATTTATTTTTCTTTTAATTAAGTCCTTATAATTTCACTAAATTTTTAATCAGGTCCATGTAGTTTTAATTTTTATTTATTAATTAAATATAAGTTTAATTAAATAGATTAATACTGCAATATAAAATATTAATAATTAAATTAAATTAATAATTATGTAATAAAAAAGTAAGAGAATTAATTAATTCAGGAAATTTTTTTAGAACAATTAATTTTTTTGCTGAAAAATTAAAATCATTATAATAATTCAATATCTTTAGAATATTATTGTTTATAAACTAATATTAAATAATATATGCTATTTTATGTTTATATAATAGTACTATTAGAATTTATAAAATAAAGAATAAAAAATTCAGGGTCTTAATTAAAAATAAGGTGAACTTATAAGGATTTGATAAAAAGAAAAATAAATACAAGGAACTAATTAAATACAAGTGAAAGTATAAGGACCTAATAAAAAGAAAAAAAAACTATAAGGACCTCATTCAAAATTAGTTGAAACTATAAGGAGCTGTGGATTAATTATCCCTTAACATTTTTAAAAAAAATTATCATTTATCTTTAAAACACAATTAAGCTTCTTCCTAAAATTTCCTTAAATTAAACTCAGTAAATAAAATGTGGGACTCTTTTTTTTTTCCGCACATAAAGTAAAAAATCCTTCTTTTCCCCAAAAAACACAATCCTACTTTTTTTGTGTGCTAAAACATAGGTATCCTCTTATTAGAGACAATCCTATTCGAGATACTATCGAGCACTAAATATGGGCAGCTCTCCCAGCAAGGATTCGAACCTTGGTTCGCTACATTGTGAGGGACTAACCCTTTCTGCTAGGCCCAACTCCCATTAGTAACACAATCCTACTTTCAATGAAGGACTTTTCCGGGAAAAGAAAAAATCCTAAGATAGCTTTAATCCACTAAAAAAATTAAGGAAAAATTTTAGAGAGCATCTCAGGGCGGGGAATGGAGAAACTAATTTCTCACTCATTAAATTGATTAAATTAAATTAAATGAATTAAATATTTTGCTATGATTTCATGATTATTAATTTTGAAATAAATGGAATGTAAAAGAAACATATTTTAAATTTTAAAAATATAAAACTTAAAACCGCTAAAACACAACAGGAGAGAGCGCAAGGGGGCAAGGCAAGGGCGCGGTTTCTCTCCACTGAGGTCCCATCCATTGAGCCTCCACTTTGGCTCCACGACAAACGCAAGTGAAATGGATTATTATGAGTGGCTATAAAATTACATTTTAAAATTAATTAAAAAGAAGCAAGAGGCTCCTGGGGATGATATGGATACACATGTGGGCTCAACAAAATATCACCGGTACAAAATATTTTTATTCCGAAACAAAATTTATTTATATTACATAATAAAATTATCCTTTTTTTTCTAGCAATAAAATCATCCTTTTTAAAACACCATATAAACTTCTACTTTTTTTATCTTATTTATAAAACAAAGTGACAAATTTTTTTGTCGTATTTATATATTACATTGTTAAATTTTTAATATGAATATACTATTTTATCTTATATAAATTATTTTTTAATCTTATTCATAATGTAAAGTAAAAAAATTTTTCGTTCCAGTTATATATATCACATTATTAAAGTTTCAAAGTGAATATACTATTTTACCTTTCATACAAAGCAAAGTGAAAGAAAATTTTTGGTTCTATTTATGCATCATATCATTAAATTTTTAATTTACATAAACTACTTCTCTAGTTTTATTTATAAAGCAAGAAAGTTTTTTATTCTATTTATATATCACAAGTGACACCATTAAATTCTTAACATGATATATTATTTTACCTTTCAATTTTCTAATAAAAAGATAATTTGATTATGTAAAATGGTAACATTTGATTATTTATAAATTTTGTTTTAGAAGAAAATACATTTTTACTGGTGATATTTTGTGGGCCCTACATATGTATCTATCACCCCATAAGAGCGTGTGCTCCGCCTCTTGCTTTTCTTTAAGTTTGGAATTCAGTTTCATAGCCATCCACGATGATCCATTTCAGTTTGTGTTTTATCGTCTGTTACAAACAATTATTGTAGAGTCGAAGTGGAGACGCAGTGGATGGAAACGTCAGTGGAGTGGTGAGAAGCCGCGCCAAGGAGGGCAACGGCTTGGTCCATCTTGGCGCCACGCGAGGACCCCTTCTTCTCGTCTCGTGCTTGCCACGTGGCACAAATCCAACGGCATTCCCGCGACGCCGTCATTGACGTCTTCCTCATCCCTGATTTCAAGACATTCAAATAAACTTGTCAGCTTCACTTCACAGCTTCAGAAAGTTTCCAGCAATGGACGCCAAGCGCCGGAAGCCCTTGCAGACCAAGCTTGAGCGCCGAAACGCCATGAAGAACATAGATTACCAAGCTCCCACCACCTCATACGACGAAGTCGCTTCTCTTGACCTTTTACGCCAAACCAGCTACAGGTTAAAGGGCTTCGACGATGAGGTTGACCTTCTTTTTCGCGGTTTAGGACTTTCTGGACCCGAAGACTTTGAAATCCCAACTGCAGAATGGAGAGCCCGAGAGGCTCGCTCTATCCATAGTGATAGTAACCCACTGATTGAAAAAGCACGAGATGAAATTCAAATTCCTGCTGAATTTCAACGCCGGGTTGAAATTAATAGTGATATAGAGCTAAAAGGTAAGAAATTGCAAGCTGGGATGGAGAGGAAGATTACTGTTGCTTATTCTAATTCGAATGCTTTGGGGTCCAATCAGGATGGTGGTAGAGTAATCAAAAGTGTTAGGCCTTCTGTTCTATTGCCTCCGCCGCCGGGGATGGTGCGGCGGCCAATCGCTAACAGGGTTACTGATTTTCCAATTCAAGTTAGACGCATTAGGTCTACTGGCGAAGATGAAGTGAGGGTCCCTAAAGGAAATGAGGAGGCTGTTGACGGAGATGAAGATGGTGGTGGTGGTGATAAGGGTACTGGTGTGGTTGATGAGTCAGTTCTTAACGTCTCACCATATGGGTCATTTAGATGCGCTTTCTCCTGTTGGCAAAAGGGAGAGATTCTGGGAAAGGGGTCATTTGGTACGGTTTATGAAGGCTTTACGAGGTGAGTATACTTTTCTCCGTCACCTTTCAATTCACACTTTACATTTCAAGGAAAACCACCTGATTGTTTAAATTAATTTACATTAAACATATGTTGATGCGTTTCTAATTAAAGCAACCGAAGGTGTTGGATATGCTACTAGGATTTTCATAATTACTTGGAAAATGGGATGAAAATATTGCATTGAAATTGTTATGGTACAGGACAAGACTTCCTGTAGATTTGGCCTTTCCAATTAAACCACCCCTATTATCTAAATCACCATGGCTTATATTGCTTGGAAAGTAATTAACTATGATGAAAAGGTGCTTCTCTTGTTTGTCAATATAGGGGAAGTATTTGATTTGCCTTCTATAAGGAGAACTTTGTTAGTGTGCCGCATTTCAGTATATTCCTTATGAGGATGGTGATTTTTTATTCATCATGGAAAATTGCAGTAGAGGGCTGAGGAAGTGAGGCTTGTCCTCTCGTGAGTATTTTTTGGGATGGTTATTGTTGGAACATTGAGGGCGTGTGATCATTAGTGAGCTGGTCTTAACAATTAGTACCAGTATTTGTATACAACCTAATTCATGCTTATAAATGGGCACACAAAATGCTTCACTGTGCAAGTCAGTACTCCCATCTGGAGTATTCAAAAATCACAATATATATTTATTTATTTCTAGGTTACATGGGAGTGATGACATGTTTTGTGAAGCATTGTGTGCGCTTATTTATATAGAAAGAGAGTCATACTGCTCTACCTGCTCATAGGTTTACTTGTTTAACTTGTGGGTCAGTGTGAGCAGGTGCAGACTACATTTCTTTGGCCTGTTTATGACTAGTTCGTGTCATGGGAGGCTAGCCCTGTTGTCTAAGCATGATAAAATGGAAGTGTATTTTTATTAAGCTATTTTCAATTTCTAGTATTATAACCTCCTCAATTTATTGCTTGACAGAGGTAACGTATGCATTTTCTTTTTCTACAGTGATGGGTTCTTCTTTGCTGTGAAGGAGGTTTCTTTGCTGGATGAAGGAAGTCAGGGCAAACAGAGCATTTTCCAACTTCAGCAGGTGAAAAGGCCTAATCTTCTCATCATAGCTTACTATAAAGTTTTTCCTTATTTAATATTTACAATGAGAATATTTTGTTCCCATCTTTTCAGGAAATATCTCTCTTGAGTCGGTTTGAACATGAGAACATAGTTCGATATCTTGGCTCAGATAAGGTATTCTGATTATCAGTTGGCTTTTCTTCTCAGATGTTATAAGCAATACATGATAACAGAAATAAACTTTCTCTCAACCGATGTCCCAATTCCCCAACCAAATACAAAAAATGTGGACTGTGAAAACAATGCCTTTATTTGAAAATGTTGCGGTGTAAGACCATTTTATGAGCTTTTTTGTCTCCAAATTTTGAACAGGAAATCCACACTTAGTGACTTTTTCAGTTCTACAATTTTCCTCATCTTTTTGTCATTTTGAATTGCAAATAGGGAAGACATTCTGCAATGTTTGCTATATCAGCTTTTAATCCTGCACTTTTTTCCTTCTAATGTTTGACTGAAGCGAGCGTTCATCGGACTAAACATGTCAAATTCCATCAATGATGATTTTTCTTTGGCCTGAAAATTTCCCCTGAATGATTGGCTATTCTATTTCTGATTATCTTAGTCAAGTTTTCTTGGTAAATAGGGTACAGGCTGATTTTACTGTGGCCTTCTCCCAGAAGTTTTTAATGCTTGGTTATGTTACTTAACGGACATTGCAGCTGAAATGTTTCATTTATGCTCTCGTTTAGTATGCTGATTATAAGCTGTCTTCATTAGGATGAAAGTAAGCTATATATCTTCCTTGAGCTTTTAACAAAAGGGTCCTTGGCAAATCTCTATCGAAAGTATCATTTAAGGGATTCTCAAGTTTCTGCATACACACGGCAGATTTTAAGTGGCTTGAAGTATCTTCATGATTGTAATGTGGTTCACAGGTAACTCAAGCAAAATTATTGAATTGATCATAATAGATTCTCTTTTGTCTAGGTCTATTGTTGTTCTGCGGAGAAGATTGAATGGATGTTCATTTCGCATCTTTATGTTGTAGCAAAAGGTTACTTTAACAGTTCCTGAAGAATAAAACGCTATTTGAAGCTACAGAATTTAATATCTCGGTCCATGGTTTTATATGATTATGGCTTCCTTACAACTAATATTTCTCTAGATGTAATGATGACACTGAGCAATAATTATATAGTATCTGTAGTGTTTTGTAATTCATAAATTGTATCATCAAACTTGACCAATTTAAGGTGTGGAGTTTGTTCCCCTTTTGTTCTTATCAATTAAATGGCTTTTCTTCTAAAATTTGTTTAGGAAATCTGTGTTTGAAGATAGTTGTATTAAGGAGATTGGTAAGAAGCCATATGATGATATGTTTCCTTACAGATGAAATCTAACTTCTCATCTAGTAGGAAGCAGCTATCATAGAAATGCTTTTTTGAAGAGTGAAAATGCTTGACTTTTAACTATAAAAAGATACCAGCCAATCAGATTTTGTTTGTTCTCCTGGCTTTTGGGGAATCATTCTATAGTTAAGGCCCATTCTCTGGAACTTGGGAACACTCCTTAGACGAAAGTTGAATGCTTTACTTGGAAATAGATATCTAAAATATCTCAATTTTACGTGGTTTTGCTACATTCTAAAGTTTCATATCTGATTTTTCAATTTAAGGGACATCAAGTGTGCTAATATATTGGTTGATGCAAGCGGATCAGTAAAGCTTGCAGATTTTGGATTGGCAAAGGTACCCTTTTCTGGGAAAAATTGAATTTCTCCTTTTATCCTCTGTTTTGTTTTGTTTTTCTTTCTTTTCCTTTGGTTTAAATTATACTTGAGTATGAAATTTTTTAGTGGTTTGGTAGGAATTTTTCCAGTAAAATTGACTGATGAGTTTTTTCCTTGGATATTTCAAAAACACCATTTTTATTAGACAAGTTAATGGCAAACACTGAGAGAATTCTTCTAGAGTCTAATTTTTCCCTATGTGGAAATTTCGGATGGTCTTTAATGCTTAAAGTTGTTTCGTTTCATCATCACAGGCAACTAAGTTTAATGACCTTAGATCAAGCAAAGGCTCCCCTTACTGGATGGCCCCTGAGGTTTGGCTCTGTTCTTGCTTCATTTATTTGATATGATTTCTTCTGATAGATAAACTAAAATGAGATCATTTAATTATTTTAATTTCAATGTTAATTTATAGTTCAATCTTACCCCCACGCATGCTGAAGTTCTAATATGTTGTAAATATAAATTTCAATTCGCAGTAAATTATCCTACTGAAGAATATACTTCTAGTAATTTCATATAGGGAAGATTTACAATTTCGTGCTTGAAATTTCTGGAATGCATTATGTGGATTTTACATTGGGTCTTGCCTACATTTAACTCGATCGACACTGATTTTGATTCCAGGTTGTAAATTTAAAGAGCCGCGGCTATGGTCCGGCAGCCGATATATGGAGCCTAGGATGTACAGTTTTGGAGATGTTGACTCGACAGTCTCCTTACTCTGAATTGGAAGGGGTATGTTGTTTTTTTTTTTTTTCCCTTGGTTTCCTTCGATCATATAGTGTTGTCTTCTCCTAGTTTTCCTTGATTCTCGTAACAGAAACATGATTCTTCCTCTATTGCCTTCACCTTGCCGTGCCCTCAAATTTCTTTTTTAAGTTTTGATTCATACTTGTGGTGAAGTTAGCTTCTTGGACTATTCACTTTATGTTAAAAGTAAATAACTAGCTGATATGTAAATTTTGTCCCTGTTATGACAGATGCAAGCATTATTTCGGATTGGCAGGGGCGAACCTCCACCAATTCCTGAATCAATATCGAAAGATGCTCGAGATTTTATTCAAAGATGCATACAAGTTAACCCTGAAAAACGGCCAACCGCAGCTATATTGTTGGAACATAAATTTGTAAAAAGAAAATTCTTGCCTCCAATAATTCCTGCTCCTCCACTTGTTAATGATTTTCGGTCTTGAAGGTTCTCAAATCTCAATCAAGCATGTTGGCGTTCACTAAGAAAGTCTTTCTACTTATCATTCAATCAAGGAGACACTCATTTCAGGCTTTGTATTATGGAATTGTTACGAGTCCCAAACTGAAGAGTCTCACAAGTGAAGTGTGATATATAAGTTCAAGAGGCTCTTTCACCCAATAAACTAGTTTTTTGGGATTGATTCTTTCTTTGGACTTATGCTTGTGACATTGGCGCTTTCACTAAAGGCTGATATTAACTGAGGATTTTGACTGGCCATAGGCTGAGTGAAGTGTCATGAAGTAGAGCTGATCTCAAACAGGAGTGCATTGCACGTCTCACATCGGGGAACCTCATAAGTGAAATGTGGTTAGGATCTCTCACCCAACAGGCTAGTACTTTGGGATGGGTTTACCTTCTGGACTTGTGCTCATAATAGGAATGTAACAGAAATTCAATAAACATGCTGAAAGCCACCAGAGTTTTCACCGACAATCCTCAATCCGTTGGTAAGCGTCATCTCAATCCGCTGGCAATTGTCATCTGAATCCCCAAGGCTTGGTCCCTTGCCGAGGAAGGTAGGTCCAAGAAAAGAAAAAATTTCACCTCATGAATGGCTCTTGTGACTGACTCAGGCAGCCCTCAAATGCCTAAAATCCTCAACTGATCTATGCCTAGTTTTAGTCAAAGGCAGGTCATCCATGAGAGAACTGGAAAATTTACAAGAGAATTTAGACAAGCTCTCAACTGCAGCCATTGTTGTGGTCGGCATGAGCTCACAATTGGATTCTCTACATTCATAAGTTCACAAAGAGAGGATAACACAAAAGGAATTGTGGATAAGGCTCACATCTTATCTACATATTCATGATCTCTTTTAGAATGCATCATATGAATTACTTTTTCCTTAGTCTACTGGTATGTAAATGTTTAATTTTTTTTCCCCCCAGCAAAAAATGGTTCAAAACTGGAAGCTTTTGCTGCTCTGAAATCTCATGATCCGGAATTATATTAAGATGACTCTCTTTTTTGTTGCATATGTACTGTCCTCATGGGTACATCAATATTCATCACATGCCTTCACATGCTCGAATGATATGTTATGTACATTGGAATGGATTATAACAGATTATTTAATAAAAGGCGTGAAATGGGAATAGAATAAAATAATATATAAAATCTCTTATGTTTAAGATAATACGTGAATGTTTCTGTATTATTAGCCTTGATAGAATAAAAATAGGTTTAATATAATTTTTTGTTCCTCAATCTCAAGTTTGATTTTATTTTTATTTTGGTCTTTTAAGTTTCAAATCATAAGTTTCGGTTTTTTAAGTTTCTTTCTATTTAAAATATTAATTCACATTTAGACTATTTTACCTTTTAAGGAACCAAAACATATGGTTAGAAAACTTAAGGGCCAAAATCAAAATTAGTGTACATTTGAGGGATTAAAAATTATATTAACTCATAAAAATATGATGAGAATGAAAAACATGTAATGACAATTGACTCCGTTTCCTAGATTGTAACCATATTAAAATTAAAGGTAATGTTTAATATGGTTTGTAGTTTAAACTAAACAACAAACTAAATTTAATATTAAAGAGTAAAGACGGGAGATTGTATATAACTTTTAATTTGGACGGTGGGTGATAGATAGGAACCTTAAGAGTATAAAATAAGATTGTAATGCATACAGTGTGAACAGGCTTATAAAAGCAAGTAAATAATTATAAAGCATAAAGTATAAACACAATCATTAAAATAAAAAAAAAAACGCGCATACACATACACACAAATACTCAATCTTTGGCACCTTGTCCTCGGCACCGCCTGTTCCCATTATAAGCCATACTTTCAAAAAATTAATTGGTTCTCATTGTGCGTTACGCAATAGAGTTTTGATTATAAATTTGTTTTTGTCAAAACTATCCTTTTCAGGGGAGTTTAGCAACCCTTAAGGCGTAGCTGGTCACAAAAAAAAAAAAAAAGCGCAACCCTTAAGGCGTACGAGATAAGGATGAGATAAGGATGTAAGAAAAGATTTATTTCAACTTGCATAAAAATAATTTTTTAGAAATTACAGTTTTCCAAACATCACTTTAATATAATTTTCCTTCTCCCCTTTTGAGATGCAATTTATAATTTTAAATTTAAATATGAGTACGTTTGACATTTTTTTTTTTGCTTTGATCTTTAAAAGTTAAGATAAGTTATTTTAATTCCTAAAATTTAAAATAAGTAATTTTGGATATTGAACTCATTTAAATATTTTTTCTAATTAAAATAAGGCTCTAAATCTAAAACTATTGGTTTCAAATTTTAGATATTAAGACATTAAATTTAAGGAAGTATATATAGGCCTTATTATGAATCACATTTAAAATCACTTATAAATATTTTTCAGCTAAGTCTGGTAGAGCTCCTCTCACATATTTATCTTGTATTTATAAGGTATTTCAAATAGACTTATAGTATTGACCCTAAATTTAATAACTTAAACACTTTTTTTTTTATTGGTTTTACTTTGTTGGCCAAACTTTTCAAGGAGAGTTACAATCAGGTCTTAAAAAAGAGATTTAATTATTTTAAAATTTATTGACAAGTGAAAAGTAAGTAATAACAAATTTCAGAATAAAAAATGATAGTATGTTCAGAATGATCATTTGTTATTAAAAAAATTTAATAATTAAACTTTATTTTTGTACTCTTTTGATTGTTTGGAGGCTCTTATGACAATGACAATTAATGAGATTAACATTTTGGGAAAAATAAAGGAAAAAAGATAGAAAAATACCACTTGAACTTCATAATTCCCAGATAGTCTGTTGAATTTGAGAAATCCTAATTTGGTCTCAAGAGACCAAATTGGGATTATCATGTTAAAGGAAAATACCAAAGTACCCTTCATTTATTTATTGTTTTTAAAATACCAAAGCCCCCACTAGCCGGCCAGTCGTCGAAGCTCCGACGACTGGCCGACAATTGGTCACCGGAGCTCCGGCTGTCGGAAATAATTTTTTTAAAATTTTTTACAACTTCAGTATAACAGTTAACAACATTTGTAACATTATTAACAATTTCAGTATAGCAATTAACAACAAATTTTCTGGAAAATTCAACAAGTTCTGGTGGCCGGAAACAATTTTTTAAAATTTTTTTACAATTTCAGTATAACGGTTAACAACTTTTATAACCCTATTAACAACTTCAGTATAGCAGTTAACAACAGGTTTTCTAAGAAATTCAACAAGCTTCGGTGGCTAGAAACAATTTTTTAAAAAATTTTTACAACTTCAGTATAACGGTTAAGAACTTTTGTGACGCTATTAACAACTTCATTATAGCAGTTAACAACAGGATTTTTGGAAAATTCAACAAGCTTCGGTGGCCAGAAATAATTTTTTTGAAAACTTTTACAATTTCAGTATAACGATTAACAATTTTTGTGACGCTATTAACAATTTCAGTATAGCAATTAACAATAGGTTTTTCGGAAAATTCAACAATTGGTCGCCGAAGCTCTGGCGGCAGGAAACAATTTTTTTAAAAATTTTTTTACAACGTCGGTATAACGGTTAACAACTTTTGTAAAGCTATTAACAACATGTTTTTCGAGAAATTCAAAAAGTAGTATTTTTATAACTTCAATAATACCGTTAACAAGTTCTGTAACTCTATTAACAACTTCAGTATAGCATTTAACATGTTTTCTTAAAAACTTCAAAAAAATAGCATTTTTACAACTTTAGCAATTAGTTTTTTTGGGGAAAATTTTACAACTTCAATATAACGGTTAACAACTTTTGTAATGTTATTAACAGCCTTAGTATAGCAGTTAACAACAAATTTTCTAAAAAATTCAAAAAGTAGCATTTTTACTGAAAACCTGTTGTTAACTGCTATATTGAAGTTGTTAATAGCGTTACACAAGTTGTTAACCGTTATATGAAAGTTATAAAAAATTTTTAAAAAAAATTGTTTCCTGCTGCCAGAGCTCCGACGACCAATTGTTAAATTTTCTGAAAAACCTGTTGCTAATTGCTATACTGAAATTGTTAATAGCGTCACAAAAGTTGTTAACTGTTATACTGAAGTTGTAAAAATTTTCAAAAAAATTGTTTCCGGCCATCGAAACTTGTTGAATTTCTCAGAAAACCTGTTGTTAACTGCTATATTGAAGTTGTTAATAGTCTCACAAAAGTTGTTAACCGTTATACTGAAGTTGTAAAAATTTTCAAAAAAATTGTTTCTGGCCGCCAAAGCTTGTTGAATTTCTCAAAAAACCTGTTGTTAACTGCTATGTTGAAGTTGTTAACAGCGTTACAAAAGTTGTTAACTATTATACTGAAATTGTAAAAATTTTCAAAAAAATTATTTCCGGCTGTCGGAGCTTGTTGATTTCCCAGAAAACCTGTTGTTAATTGTTATATTGAAGTTGTTAATAGTGTTACAAATGCTATTAACCGTTATACTGAAGTTGTAAAAATTTTTAAAAAAATTATTTCCGACCACCAGAGCTCTGGTGATCAATTGTCGGCCGGTCGCCGGAGCTCCAGTGACTGCCGCTACGGGAACTTCAATGACCGGCCGGCTAGTGGGAGCTTTGATATTTTAAAAATAATAAATAAATGAAGGGCAGTTTGATCTTTTCTTTTAACATAATAATCCTAATTTGGTCTCTTGAAATTTTTCAAATTCAGCCGATCAAATTTAAATGGTATTTTTCTGTCTTTTTCTCAAAAATAAAGGATGGCCGGTAGTTATGTATACACTAAACCGACTTACAAAAGAAATAAAAGATTCGCATATTATCACATCCGCACGACTTTCACGTTGGATTGTCTGGACTCGAGAACGGAGGATTTAGAACACGTATATATAAAGCCGACGAGTCATTCTCTTGTCAGGAAAACCGGGGGTACAATAAATCAGGAAGTTTTACGGGAGGATTAAACCGACGAAGACAAAGGCAAATTCACTTCTTCCAACCTTTTCAGAAGGTGGACAACAAATAGAAAAAAACCAAAATCACTTGTACGTTCGAATGATGTGACAACCATTTTAGCCATTTCTGAGATTTTCCTTTCGTTCTGCATTTCCATTGCTGTGAGCTCTTGGCTTATGATTCAATAACGAAACTGAATCGTGGAAGATTTGATTAAAACAAAGAAGAGGAAAATAGAAGTATCAACGGAAAGTACGAGTGCCCGCGCGCTTGTTTGGGCTACGTGTGAGGAAGAGAGTGAGTTGTGAAAGTTCTGGAGGGTTAGAAAACATGTCGTTACCGAAAGAGCTGGAGCAGGTGATGAAGGCTAGAGGAGGATCAGTTCTGGGGAAGAAGACAATTTTGAAAAGCGACCATTTTCCTGGTTGCCAGAACAAACGTTTGTCTCCTCAGATCGAAGGTGCTCCCAATTATCGCCAGGTATTTAGTAATTAATGTCATTCTTCTTATCCTTTATTGGCCTTGCTTCTGCTTACTGCATTTCTGTTCAGTGGCCTCAGCTGGACTCAATTGTTCTGATAGGTCTAATTCCGGAAAGAATCAAATTTACTGCGTCTTCAATTAAATACTATTGCTGCTATTTTACCTGCTTTTGGCTTCTGGGAAACCCAAGCTTTGTTAGAGTCATTTGGGATTCATTGAGAACGGAGTTTCGACTGATTTTTATACAATTTCCGATATGAGGGAAAACCGGTCTTCAATTTATATTTTTTTAGGTGTCTGAATCGCTTTAGCAATAAGCACTTAACCGACGTAGTTAGTTCTGAGACTATTCAAAGTTAATTAGGTTAATAGAATGTAATAGAATGTTAGTTAGCTCGATGTTTATATATGTATGACTGTGTAAACATTCAGATTCAATTATATCAATTCTTTTGTTTACCTTGTTGTCGGCACTGCTGAACCCGACATACCTGTTCCTCTTGTTAAGTTGCGTTGCATTGCGTTTTCTTACCTTGTTGACGTCTTTTACTTTTTCTAATGATTAATATTGCTAGGCTGACTCCTTACATGTTCACGGCGTT